GAAAAGTTAACCGTTAGTGTGTCTGTATAAACAAAAAATATAATTTGAGCTTACTTATCATCTCAATCTTTGATATAAGACTCTTACAACTCTTTTCGACATTGCACGATATTGTATTGTATATAATTGCAAAATAAAAGTAAAATTAAACTTATTTGAAAATAATTTAAGGATTAAGATTCTTTTTACAATTCGTGAAATATTAGAACGTCTCTGTGAATGAAAAAAAATTGTTCGTATGAGCCCATTTGTCATATTCTTTTAAAAAGGATTTTGCAATTCTTTTTTTCAATGTTGCACGAAATTGTATTGTAAAATAAAATTAAAAATATATTTAAGAATCATTTCAGAATTATTTTAAAAAATGATACGCTTCTAAAATTTTCGAAATTCGTAGAATAAGATTAATGAGCTCGAATTATTAGACTGAGGAGTTCTAATTAAATACAGTATGCGTGCGTAAATCGTAGAAAAGGATATTCTCTAACGCCGCACGCGTGACACAACCCTTCTACCAACGCGAGTGGTTTTGTCCCTCCCTGTTACCCTCGGGGCTCAAAACCGAGACGCAGCATCACCCTAAAGCTGATTCACACGCCGCCACGCCGCGTGTTTCGCATGTCCTATTCACGCGCAAATTCCGCTCCCGGAAATATAATGACATGGCTAACAAAAAAAAAAAAAAAATACAATAGCCGGAACAGATAAAACAAAGATATCCGGCTATCTCCTCCGACAACATCGCGTCCCCACGTGACTCCGTCTTCAACGTATACACAAATAAATAATTTTGAATGTTTAAACAGCGACTTATTCGAATAAAAGAAAATTTTATAATTCTCGCGATTTCGCGCCAATCGAATCCGGGCCAAGTTCGCGCGAGAGAGCAAGCTTCGCCGATTCCGGGGCGAATATTCGCGCGCGGGGACGCGGGTGTGCGCGCGGCGAGGGAGAGACGATCGCGCGTCGCAAGGGTCGGTCGAGGGAGAGGAGCGGGAAGAGGAGAGGAGGGGTAGGGGAGAGGGGAGGAGGAAGGCAAGAGGGGATTTTAGCCCGGGGCGTACCGTTCGGCTTTTCGGGTGCGGGACGGAACGACCGTCGGTGGTGTGCGTCGTCCGCCATGGCGAAGCGCCGCTGGGTCACGCGCGACGCATCTCTATGCGTCGTGGTAGCAGCGAGCGAGCGAGCGAGCGAGCGAACAAACTAATGGACGAACGAACGAACGAACGATCGATTTTACGGCGGTTCTTCTCTCTTCCCGACGTGTGCACGTGTTCGACGGCGGCCCTGTGCACACCGCACACCGGTGTCCCGCGACCGCAAACGCAACTCTTATCCCCGCGAACGCACCGATCCGAGGGCGACCGCGCCGCCTCGCTCGAGACGAGAAAAGAGCTCCTCCGGAGCTTTTCCGGTCCATCACGGAGAGATATTCCAGAGTTCTAAGAATAATCGCGTTACATCCAGGTACATTTGGACATCCGTTTTGAATTTTCATTTTAATCGCCGTCTGATTGTGCTTGAAAATTAAAGTAAAATAAATCATCTCCGGATGAATCATCTCTCTAAAGCAACAAATAATCTGAGAAGATTAACAAAAACTTTCCTTTACCTCAGTTTGGAAAAAACGTAAGCGGGAAGATTCAGATGCAAAAAAAATTTTTACACAAGAGCAAGCTGTATCTAGGAACGAATAATCTAATATTCGCGATTTACGCTAATTGCAATTATTTATGCGTATCCTTGAATGAAGTAATTAAAGCCTTCGGCTTTACGACATCCGACTAGCCCGATCATGAAATTACGGCATTATTATTAATTGATTTCTTGTATTAAGCCTGCGGCACATGATTTTTCATGCTAGATCGCATTCAATCTAATGAATTACTAGAATTGCGTCAATTACTGGAACAGCGCAGCAGAATTTCTAGTAATTCACTAGAGCGCGTTCGATCTAGATACGAAAAATTGCAACGTGTGCCGTAAGGCTTTGTCTCGCAATCGAGAAACGCAATTCTTTTATTGAGGAAAACGCGCGGGTTTCGAAACCCGAGTCGCAATCGCGCACGGTGGAAAGGGTGACGAATGTGCAAATGCACGCGAAACGGTTTGTCCGATACATACCCGCCCGCGCGATCTTCCGGGTAAATCGCGGGCTATTTTCGGCGCGTTGGCAATTAGGTGTAGTTAAGCGAAGCCGACCCAATTTACAAATTTGCGCGCGTTATTATTCATGCGGAACGCGAGGAATGCGGCAAGCGAAAAAAAAAGAACAAGAATGCAACACGTATGGACAACGCGGACGTTGCACGTTGTGTAGAAAAAAACAAGCTGCCTTGCGTCAAAAAATGTATGTAGAAAATCACAATGTTTAAAAAAAAATAAAATAAAATTTCCTGTGATAATATTTCAATCATTTACGTATGATAGTATTTACATTTACAAAAAAAATTATGCATATAAAATTATGTATAGAAATTAAATACAAAATATATACAAACTATAAATTATTTATATTGTAAAATTACATGTAAAAGAGATCAGAAATGTCTTGTGACATTTTAAGAATTTACACACATAAAATATACAATATTATAAATATATATTATATATATTATACGTAATATAAATAATTTAAAATATTGTATATATTATGTATGTAAATTCTTAAAATATCACAGGATACTTTATATATACATATATATATTGCCAGTAAAAGATTAAATCAAAAGACGCGTTACGCTGCATTAAAAAATTTAATCGCAATGCGAAGATATTAAAAATTCGCTATGATATTCTTTCCATGTTTTATATTTATGTTACATTTACGACAGTAAATAAATACGACAGTAATATAAATAGCGCAATAGTTTAATTTATGTTGTGTCGCTTTTATTTACTCCGATTTAGCGCCAGTCAAGTTTTGGATTCTCGGCATCAGTTACCTCCAGTCAAATCCGTTCCGCCGAGAGTCGCCGAGACATCGATTATAAACAATCATGTAATATGCATGCATCGACCGGAGGGAGGAGGGAGAAGGCTGCCCCTGTTTCCACGATGTATTCTCTCGCGGATTCCGAGTCGCGGATATTTCGTGCGCGATAAGATCGCACGGTTCGGACACGCGGAATTCGTGAGCGAATTTCGCCGCCGGAGTTTGTTTACACATAGCGGCCCTGCCGCCACCGCCGCCCCCGCCGTCGACGCCGCCGTCATGGCTGGAGTTACGTATATACGGCGCTCCTGAAATTCTATTTCGGTTCCACGAGAGACGTGCATATTTGGCCTATTATCACCCTCCGCGACCCGCTCCCCGCGCTCCCTGCGCCAATCAGACGGCGACGACGGCGGCGGCGTCGCCATGACCGCGCTGCCATCCGGCACGTAGGCACGTCGTCGAGTCGCTTGCGCGCCGCGAGAGACATCTGCCGGGCCACCGAGACCCCAAGAATCGCGTCATTATGGAAGAGTAATTATCGACCGTATAAAAAAAATGCCATCATAAAAATCGCGGCATGAAAAATGTATTAAATATATTAATATTTTTTTTATGTATTTTAATATGCATCTCGCATATCTTTATACATTGAAAAATCCACGAATCAAATCATTATATATTCAAATAAATTTTCTCTTTTCCACTGAATATTTCATTTATGATATAATTTGCTACGCATCGAAATACTTTTCATACAATAATATAAAATATGATATATATTCCTTTATATGTATAATCTATAATATTTACACAGTTGTAGCAGAAAATAATTTTGTTACAGGAATACAATTATTATGCGAGAATTTTTCTTCGCCACGCATCCAAAATCGTATTAATTAAATGTAATTAGAAACATTATGACTAAGAATTAATTTATTATTAATATAAATCTTAAATTTTTTGTGATCGTAAAATGTGGCGCGGTAAAATAAGCAAATATTAACCGCTGATATTACAGGAGCTTTCTCGATGAACCGAATATATGCAGCGAATGCTTGCGACTTACCGACCCCCCCCCCCCCACGATTTACGCATCTTATCGACGTCAGGAAGGGCAGCTCGCCGGCTTATCGCCGAGCGACGCGGTGTCACGTGTGCGATACGAAATTAAAAAATAAATAGAGGATGCACGGAGAGAAAGAGAGAGAGAGCGAGAGAAAGAGGATGCACACGGGAACGATGAACCCTGCGTGTGTATACGTCGTGCAAGGGCCGACGCCCCCTTCTCAAGGCGAGCAACTCCTGCGAGCGAGAGAGATTGCGGAATTTTTTCCGTCGGCGCCATGTTCGCCGTTCGGGCCCTTCGCCCTTTACAGCTCGCCTAGGACCTAGCCGACTGACTTGACCGCGCGGACCCTGCTCTACGTTTAGAATTACACGCGAGAAGTAAAACCGAGCGTTATACACGCCCACAGTTTCGTACAGATGTTCGTTCTAGCTACCACTTTCCATTTCTTAAATGAAACGAGAACACGGAATCTTCTAAAACTATCTTAGTAATTTTAACGAAAAACTTAGGACATCAATAAATACGAAACCTTTCATCAATAAAAATATTTAAGAGACTATATTTAATAAGTCTTCCAATAAAAAAAAAAGTTTCTCGTCAAACTTTAGAACAGATAAGATCATAATTGCCAATTAGTTTTACTTCGATTTTGTGATTAATATTCTACTTCAGACTTGGAATTTAATATTTTTAATAACTCATAATAAAGTTCCAATTAAAAACTATCGAATATATATATATCTGTTTAATGAAACAGACGTTAGCTTTTGATAAAGTTGATTTTACTAATTATAAATATTAATTTAATGAAGTTTATCAATTTATTATTCATTTTCAAGTAATTACGTAACAACTAATTTTATTTCACCTTATTTAATTCATATTACTGACAGGTGGGAATTACTCACGTATTGAAATTTTCGTAACAGAATTCATCATTCCTTTTTGAAGAGCACATATGATTAAACAATAAAAAAAATTATTCGCACTCACCATTGGAAGGCATTGAAGTGAAAGTAAACAAGACCCAGCCCGTATAGAAACGAAGCATCCTTCCAGTAGTCGCCTTTTAAAGAGTAGAATTTCTGATACGCCGACATAGCTGTAACAGGAAGAAAAAAATCTCGTCAGCACGAGTTTGCTCCGGTTATATGAATAAAATAAAAATCATTTCATTCAACGTGAGATGTTAAAGTGACGGAAAACATGTAAATTGATGGAATTTGATTCGACGCCATAGGAAATCCTGTCACCATTTGTCAACCTGAAATGTCAACAGCCTCTAGTTTGATATGACTGACTTGAATTCCTTAACACGTCTCACTATTTGATTTATACAGACAAATGTTTACTCAGGATAGAGAAAAATTAAAGAAGATAGTCACGTTTGCTTGAGAGAACGTTTCTAATCAATGAACTGAATCATACTGGCCAGCATTTCGAATAGACATGCAACATTCCAGGCTTTTTCGTGGGGAGAACGACACAGGAAGAAGGGCTATACCTTTGCTGTAATCTTCTAGGAGTAGATGAAAGTGTCCCAGCTTGCAGTACGTCTTGGGATCGATGCTTATCCCCTTGTCCTCATCCTCGTTCTCCTTGGCGTCATCTGGGCACGATTTTGTACTATCGGCTTTCCTGCGCTGCTTCTCCGCTTGGGCCTGAACCAGCATACGCTCCAGGTACTTGATGGCACGCACCACCAGGGCCTTCTTCTTCGCCTGCTCCGGAGAGTTCAGCTTGAGAAAGCCGAACTGTCGACTGTGTTGCGTGCAAGAGAGAGAGAAAGTGCTTTTAGTTACATTGCATTTGTCGCGTTTGTACGATATACGCGCGCATTCCGGCCCGGTCCGGAGAGACCCGCGCGCGCGGGTCCGCCGACGGTGCGTATTTACGTCATATCTCGCCATCGACGAACCATCGACAACCGTGCCGGCGATGAATAAATATTCACGCGTCGAGACGCGCTCGTACGGCGACCTGCGAGTCGCGGTTTTTCGGCCACGCGTCGCGAGAGATTCCGCGCAGCATGTGTCCGCGGAATGTGGTACAGTCGGAAGCGCGAAAACGGTGTCAGTAGGTTGCGCACGAGCGCGCCTGTCAAACGAGGGATTTTCTAGGTTATAGTACGTGGACGTGACTCCGTCGCGCCGACGGAACGGAGGGCGCGCGCGCGCGCGGGGCCCGGTTGGGTATCCAATCAATTACCTGTCCAGCTCCGACAGCGTCTGCAACTCCTGCGGCGTGAGGTTGATGTCGTCGGTGTCCTGTGCCATTTTTTTTTTACGCTCTCGGTCCCGGTGAGGAGAAACGCGCGTCACACATCCGCGGCCGGCGCGAGACGGGAATCCACGCACGCACGCACCGCGACGACGACGACGCGACGACGGCTCCGACGAAACCACCAGCAGCGTCGACGAGGAAGTCGCGCGCGCGCGCGCGAGATCATACGCGAAGTCAGTCCCGCGACTCCCGCGGCGCCGTCACCGCATCGCGAGTTATCGGACGAGATAGCGGCCGAGCCGAGCGGCGACGACGAGCGGCGACAACAGCGACTACGCCGGCGGCGGACGTATGAACTGATCACCGATGCCACCACACAAGCGACCGGGACCGAGCGGCCGGCATCTCTGCTCGCACCACGTGACTCCGCCGCCATCTTGAGTTTCGGACACGCGGCGGATTTGGATGCTACAAATGCGATAAAATATGATTAGATTGCGCAGACTTTTTAATTGTTATGTGGAGAAGCAAACTGATGTATGTAAGTACATATATGTGTATATTAATAGTTTTCGAGGTGAATTACTATAGGTCACCGACGATCTCAAATAACTATACTATTACCATAGGAACGCTATTTACCATATGCAACTAATTCGAGAGTCGGTAATATCGATATCGCGTTTTCGTTTCGCGGCAGATCCGCTGTGGGTGACGTGGGTGATACGATCGCGTGAAACTACCTAATAAAACTGTCGTGCAGTTGCCATATTGCATTGAATAGTAACATTTAGCTAAGCGTCACTATGATCGCGCGAATCGCACTTGACGAATCTGTCGCCTTATCTCTCAAAAAACCATATCCGACGTCGGATTTTCCATCGGATCGGCACCCCAAGACATGAAAATGTCAAAATTCGCCACCGAATCGCGAATTAACGGAACACAGTGTTCAACGTACGCGGTTCTTTCTTGTGTTGAAAACAGTGTTGGGACAGCTCGGCGAAATCGCAGATATTAATCCCTGATTATCGATACATGAATAAACCACCTGGCGATGATCCTTGCACACGTATCCTGGCATTCCTGGCTGTATTTAGAACAAAATATATCCAAAATATCCGGGCTAGAGCAGCGGTTCGACGCTCCACGGAGTACATCAGGAGCTCCGGATCGCTGGTACTCCAACGTACGCGGACGCACCACACAAAGTACTTGTGATTCACATGTATTCTATCACTGCATTCATATTTCCTTCACTGTATTCCTTCACTGCATTCCTTCACTGCATTCCTTCACTGCATTCCGTCACTGCATTCCTTCACTGCATCCTTCACTGCATCCGTCACTGCATTCCGTCACTGTATTCCTTCACTGCATTCCTTCACTGCATTCCTTCACTGCATTCCGTCACTGCATTCCGTTACTGTATTCCTTCACTGCATTCCTTCACTGCATTCCGTCACTGTATTCCATAACTGCAGTATTTCCATCGCGTACACACTACTGACTACTGTATTCACACGCGAGATACTCTCTTAAACGACAACAATAGCGAGAGATACAGAGATACACTTGGACACGACCGCATCGTCCCATGTCGTCCCATCGTATGTCGACTGTTTAGAAGCTTCTAGAACGTTTTGGGCGCGCAAATCACGCAATTGCGATCTTGAGAAATTTCAAATTGAAGGAACCAATCACGTCGCGACGATCGGGCGTGCCTCATCTTGATGTACTTAATAATGTATGACAGTGAGGTTCAACGAATCGCTGGGTCACATAGATCGGTGAACTTACCGACGTGTCTGATTTGTCAGGCCGCACGTATCTGACCAGTCAGACACGTCGGTAAGTTCACCGGTCCATGTGGCCCAGCGATTTATTAAACTAATATATTATAACTATTTAACAATAATATTCGGCTGACGGAAATTAACAATAAATATTACATATGACGAAAAGTACAGAAATACAGAAAATACAAAAATTGTACGATGAGAAATTTAATTGATAGATATAAAAGTTAAAGTGACTAAAAATAAAAATAAAATGAGATTAAATATTCGAACTCGAGCGCGTAGAAAAGACCATATAAAAAATAGATCCGAATATACTGCATATGCAGAAAAGAAGCATACGTTTCAAAGAGCAAGAGAAAAAGAGAAAGAGATACATACAAAGAGGAGCAAAGTGCAGAAGGTGCAACTGAAACGATCCGTCTCGGGAGCCGTCTGGCTTCCTTCAAATTACGCATACCTACGGTGTTTACGTCAAGTTACGTTTTACGTTCGATCTGCGACGGGGCTGCTCGACGTCGATTCGTCGCGTCCGTCACCGGCCATCCGAAAATCCTTCGCCAAATAGGTGAGTCTCGTCGTCTCGTTACGTCGTCGAAAAGTCGCGCAGAACGTTCGTAATCCGCAAGGCAATCTCATCGTACACCTAAGAATACACGCTCGACAATGCCGAGCAGAGGTGCCTTCTTCCGCACGAGAATAAGAAAATTCTTCAAACGGTAGAGTTTCTTTGTTTCCTTGTAAGCGGAGTAACGGCTTAACGTAGTTTTTCCTCTAGAATTCGCCGAGTGTCTCAGTCTATTGGGAATTTCCGGTGGCTCTCCAAGGTTGATGTTCTACATTTTTCCATCTCTCTCTCTCTTTCTCTTCGATTTTCCGAAAACGACGCGATTTCCTTCCGAAATTTCATCATCGATATATTTACGTTTGCTTGCGTCGCATAGATCTGTGTAGAGTGACGACAGTAAGATTGTCTTGTTTTCTCACATGATCTCGTTGTTACACGATCGCTGAATAATTTGTTAACGAATTCGTTATCAGCTGTTATTAGGAGTAATCGGAAATCTGTCATTTTCGTCATTTTTTCGTATATTTCAGGTATGTAAAATACCTTTCTTCATCGATACTCATTTCTGTCACACGCCTATACTTTAATTTAACTTTCGTATTTAAGTGTGGAATTTGTGTGGTACGAGCTTTTTTAGAGCCACATCCCGACCTTGAAATTATAAAGCAATGTTGTGCAAATCGTCGTGTCGCTCTTTCATAGATATAAGTTCTTCAACGCATAATTTCTTTTTTCAGCACCAAGATGCCTACAGCCAGTACAGCCAAGAAAAGTAAAGAAGACGCAAACAAAGAAGCCTACAGTATAGATGCCTCGCAAGAAGCCAAATCTTTCTTAGAGAAAATCATGGGTGACGTGAGCAAATCTTCAGCGACCAAACAGATTATCATTGGCAGCACGTCGGGATGGTACGCTATTTTGCAGGACTTAGGCTGAAGCCCATGGCACATAAAAAAATGTAAAAACAGTAAGTGAATTGGGCAATCACAGTTAGAGAACGTAAGATGATTGCCTTACGTTTTCTACTGTGATTGGCCGATTTGCTTACTGTTTCACGTTTTTCTATGTGCCATAGACTTAATATTACATCTGTCCATCTTTGTCGCACGACAAAGCATTTCAAGCCTATTGATTGGCTACAGGATATAGAGATATATCCGACAACTTCTCTTGCAGCTAATCAACAGATTTGAAAAATTTTTCACACGACAGAAAACGGATAAATGTAATAGTACCCTTACAATCGTTCATTTTCTGAATATTTCTACGCTAAGTCATCAGGCACAGTCCTTCGTACATACATATTAATTGCATGGTTTTATAACTCTCAGGGTAACTGGATTCATCACTATGAAAATCGGGAAGGTGGCGGCCTGCGCGGTCGGCGGTGGGATTATCATGCTGCAAATCGCTGCGCAGCAGGGTTACATAAAAGTTAATTGGGATAAGGTCATGAGTAAAGCTGAGAAAATAACGGATAAGGTGGAGGAGAAGATTACCGGCGAAGGGCCAAATTTCATGGATAAGGTGAGACAAGTGTTCAAGATTGCTGCAAACATTTTGTAGTTTCCATGGATTCGAGTTAAAGAATTAGATTAAAAGCTCGCGATTTTTTTTAACTTGTTAAAATCAATATATATCAAAGGGGCAATAAGATGATTATCTGCAACAGAGATCATTATTACGACAAATCGTTTCCGTCTAATAGCTCACAATTTATAAGAAATGCTTTTTTTTGCATGTATTCACATTATTTTTCTTTCTTTTTTTACATATAATGTTTTTGCTGTTTACAGGTAGGAAAACTGTGGAGGAAGAATTCATTTATTGCCACGAGTTTTGTCGGCGGTTTCGTTCTCGGTCTATCTTGGTGAAGTAAAGAAAAATAACTTTGAAGTTTTGCGTGCGAAAATCTGAACGAGCGTTTAGTATGTTGTTGTCATTTATATTACCGTTGCATTTACAGTATCCCTATTAAATGCAATATTCAAATTTAATATCAATATTAACTAATAAAAATTGGTATTAATTTTAATGTCAAATAAAACTCACAATACCATTATAATGTTTGTATATAGTCCCCTCAATAAAAATCATATAATAAAATTAATTGTGTGCACGAATTTTATCAACACTTCGCTCTGACGTTAACGCCGAGTCGGACTAACGAATGTTATCGCATTTCAGGTTGAGAGATTCGTCGATAAAAAAGCGGATAAAGCCGAGCGACTGGTGAAACGGGGGAAGACTCGCGCGCAACGCTGGTACCACATGTTGACCGGCGGCGAGGACTGCTTCCAGCCGACGGAATTCCATTTCTTTCTCATCTCGTACGCAGCGGGTGTCGCGCTCGGTATCGGCACCGCTAACTAGGTAATAAGTTGCTGCACTCTGAATGCAACCAAGAGGAAGATCGACATCCACGTAGCGTCGAAAGACATCACCGTTATCGACGCGCACGACAGCATCGTCGACGAGTACAACAATACAATCATGGAAGAGGTAAGGAACAAGATCAACATGCTGAAGAAATGGGTGGCGCGAACTACGCTTAATAATCCTAGATAAATAGCTTTATTTTTTAAGTCTGCCGCTGATGTTAGCGATGAGTAAAACTTATTCATGTACTGCAGAACCGCTAATATTGTTCCTTCTTTATAAAATGAGAATAGATAATGAAACAGATCGTCAATCTTTCTGCAACAATTGCTTCAGAATTAACAAATAGAATAAATTCACTCATCGCTATCTTCTCTAGAGTTAATATATCAAACAGATGAAAGTCCCTAATGTTTTTTTTTTTTTCGATGTTTGAGATTTAAAAAAAAAATGAATTGATTTATACCAGTAAAATTTATTGAAATTTTATAGATATTGCTTTAATGTATTGGTCATTTTACATTCTATCCTGTAATTTTGCGCGCGGTTTAGAATATTTATTACGAGAAGTAATTTTAGAATCTCGATAATTTGATTGATCATTTGCACAGAACATGTGTGCGAATCAAAATATATATAACGTGTGCACATGAAATAAGAGATTTCTTGTTCGTTCAGAATGCAGCAAGAAATTAGTCATTCTAGGATGTAAACATTAGACTAATATATTGTATACTACTTATATTTATAGATCTTAATATTGTCTATAATACAAATTATGTAATGATATTCAAATGCAAATTTAACAACTTTCAATCATTTAGCAATGATTTAACAATAGAAACTGAAATTTAACCTTACGAAATATGTATGAAAGCATTATTATATTATTTCCAAATGTATGCTAAGAAATGTTTATGCTAAAAGTATTGTGTTTGAAAAGTACTTAAAGATAATAAAAAATTTTTTTATTATAACCAATTTAGAAATTAATACTAAGTTAATGTCATCGAATAAAAGTGAATGATGGAACAAATAAATATATACACGCTTTGAAACAATAAATTATGTATATATACGATACCAGTATAAAACATTGTCTCACAGAGAATGTCAGAGAACACTATATAAATCGTACCTCAAAATGTTTTCAGACACTGCATTATTATATCCCTGAGACGTTTACGGATCTTTTGATCGCCGTTGCAGAAAATGTGCGTAGAATTATCTCCGATCTGAATCAGAGTATCCTCGTCTTGCTGCAAGTAGACACATAAATGTATAAGTTTAAGCAAAGAATTTTTAATTTTGTATCGATTATGTCTTTATGTAATTATCGAAGAAATTGTTTTCTATATTTATAATGAAAAAAATAATCGTCAACAAGATGTTAATGTCGTACCAAATGAATACTCGTAGACGTAGGACTGTGCTGTAACTTGGCTCCGTGAAAGCCTTCCTGATTGAGCTTTTGCAGCAATTCTTGTGGATCCAGGCTCCCGTACTCGTGCTTCCGCAACTTCAGTACTTCCTCCATGATGGGCGCGGGCGAACCCAACGACATTTTCCTCTTTCCGCTCGGTTTGTCCTCTACATACTATAAATTTTACTCACTTAGAAGTGAAATATTATATATATAAGTACCAAAAATATATTGCGTTTTTTTTTCTCTCCACTGAATTTCTCTCTTTCGACAAAGACATCTTTTATAAAAGATCATGTCGCAATATTTATCTTGACCATGAAACTCATGTTTATCTTTACTGTATACGTATTGATAATTACTTTTATGGTGTACACGTTGTCCTTGACCTCAAGCTCGCCGGTAACAGATGCGAGACTCAGGCCAGGTCGCACTTCACTCGGTACAATACTGCCAGCTAGTTCCGGTTCAATGAACACGCGGCCCTTCTTCCGCTTTAATGGCAATTTTATCACCTCTCCGCGTTTAAACGTAATCAAGGGTTTTTCCTTGAACAAAGCGATTATGCAAGTTATTTTGTAGAATTTTTTTTTTTATATTAGCGCGTTTTATAAATATGGCAAAGAGAGAATACGAAATAGAAAATTGCAAACATAAATTGTAACTCGAGAAACATTAGATAGGAAACGAATATCTACCCCGATGGATTCGATGACAAGATCCGTTCTGTGTGGCGCCATTCCAGGGGGCTGCGTGTAAACCTCCGGAATAACAAGGTGCTCCGGCTTCAAGTCCCGAATCAGTTTGTTGGCCTGAGTAAAATTCAGAGAGGTGTCGATGGGACAGTGCACTGCCTTCATTGACAATGGTTGAAAAGGAGCGAGAGCTTCTAAATACGGAAAATCAGGCTCTGTAAAACCAAACGTGACAGAAATATAATTAATGTTACAAAGAAAATATTAATAAAATATATAATGGAAATAAATATGTGCAATATATCATATGTGACATACAATATATGGAAGCAATTTAAAAAAATAATGTAACGCAAATTGTATTAATTGTTGGAATGTTAGGAAAAAATGTTTGAAACCGTTTATATTGTGTTTTACACATATTTCTTTAATATTTAATATTTATTCTATTTCGGGATGTCACATGGCTACGCGTGGAGATGTCTTGTAATTGTGATAAGATCTCGCGTTCGATACTTCATTCTATATATGAATTTTTAAATTCGTAATTTGTTTAAATTAAGGATAAAAAGATCTGAAGATTCTAAGAAGACTTCTCGATTCACTTTAGTTAGGAGGTTGTGTACGTAGCCAACAATCACGTAATATTTCTCGTTCATAAAGAAGACCAAACCTTTAGAACAGATCCCTTTAGAAAAGACCAATTCAGAGTTGTGGATTGACAAATTTGTCTTACTTTTAAAAATTACGTTTACTAAATATAGAATTGCAAACGCAAAATTGTTGGATTCTTTTCTGAACAGAATTACGTATACGTACCGGTAAAGATTACAGTGTGCAGGGAATTGTTGCCCCATAACTGCACGAAATGCACGGCATCGCCAAACCGGAGGCTCGGATGGCCGCAGAAGACGACGCAGGGCTGTCGGTAATCACTGCTGAATCCTTCAGCGTACGTAGATGTGTAATGCTTCAATCGAGCGTTCTTCACGAGGAAAGCGTGTGGGAACGGTTCCTCTGGAAGATAAACTTTGTTTTGTTTATTTGTCGATAGCCTAGAAGTAAAGCATCACAGTAAAACGGGCTTTAAAAAAAAAATAGAATGCAGTATCAGGAATATCTTTAGAATCATCTCATTCGATTGTACCATTCGGCCAGAATATTGGAATAAGCCAAGGACGTCTCCGCCACCGGTGAGATGAAGAATAGAGGCACTTGCGTGAAGCCGGACTTGTCCAGATGAGTGCTCAGACACTCGAATAAATCGTACACGACGCCGGAGGGATAGCAAGGTATCAGAACGCATCCGCCAGCTCTGAGAGTCACAGCTGCAACATTTTCACGTGGCGAGATAAAATATTACCTAAAATGTATTTTTGTTCAGAAGATCAAATTATGATGCATCCAACAAAGATTGTCAGAAAAAATCCTGCAAAATTATATTTTTTATTGTTTGTGTAATTCTCTTAAGAAATATGATTTCGGTATCAAAGAATCAAGGTATCACTCGCTTGCTGGATGCACCGCAATTTGTCGAATATTGAGATTATTACCGACGGTCATGCACAATTCCCCAAGCATCGTATCTGGATTAGCAGTTGGCGTTTGTGTCAAGCCCGTCAAAATCAACAGATTGGCGTGCTTTAACGTGACCTGATCCATGGGCTTCGGATGGGTGGTCAGAGTGGACGAGCCACTGACAAAAGCAACCTTTTCATGGTCGCTAGATATCAGCCAATTGCTACTACCTAAACAGTAGCCCGAACTAATTGGTGTGACTGTTAGTGCGCCGTAAATATCCTACAAATAATTCGAATATGATTATTAAATTGTTATCAGCGAAATAGCAGATTGCAAAGAAATCTCGAGTTAAAAAAAATGACTTCTTTTAAGAATGTCTGAGCATTAATGAATATTTCCAGTCGCACATGTTTGCTACGAAAATTTGCTAAAAATTGTTGATATAGACATTTCGTATAAAAAGAAATACTAATTATTTGCAACTTACTAGTTTTTGATCATATCCGACCATTTGAATGTTTGACAGCGCTGAATTCACAGCCGACATGGAGTAAATATGCTTCCAGGATTTCGGTTTAACGATCTCAGCCAACGGGGATGGCAAAGTATGTAACATGTCCTTCCAATGTTTGGCCATTGTCGCCTTTGGAGTCCGCTCGATAAATTCCACTAGCTCCTCCATGAAAAACCGTCCGATTTGCAACGTCGGTTCGGTGGCATATATTATACCTTAGAATTAATGTGAATTTTTAATATTTTTTTCAATATATGTATGCATATTCATCTTACATGTACTCGCTGTACCTTTAAAGCCTGTGCCTTCCGTTATGAATGGCAGCGCGAGCATGCATGTGTAGTTAGATATTAAAATGGCATCAATCTCCGAGAAATCAATTATCTTCTCCAGAGGAGGAGTGAATTCTGGAACTGAATCCACAAAGACTCTACCGCAGCATTCTTTCAGCTCCTAGAGAATAAGAATATATTTGTACAATTACTGTTTAAAATAATTTAATAAGTTTATAATTTATCAGTTAAAAAGGATTAAATATATTTTAAAATTGTGTGCCTCACTAACCCCCTCGATTTGCCAATCTTGCTGATTGTCATTGCGTTGATTGTCATTGCGTGGCAGCCACGTCGACAAGGAATTGAACTTGTTGCTAGGAACCATGGGCAAGGGCATGAAATGCAAAATGGATTGCATATTCAAGCCACAGTCCAACATCAGGGTGGTTCCTTTGAAAGTCAGAACCAAGCATGGCTTTGTCGGCTCGCTGGACAGGCAGTACTAAAAATGTGTGGTCATCAATTAGTCTGTTCAAACAAATGTATCAACTCGGAGAACTAAATAATAATGTCTAGTAATCTTTCATCATATTAGAAATAGAAAGCCATAAATTAATATTATAAATAATACAATAATTTTTAGATGCTGAATATTGAGCTAATGTTATTATTCATCTAACAATATATCATCCTTTCTTTATCAAATAATATCTCTAATTTTTCCTCACAAAATAATGAGCTTTTAAATTTAGAGGTCAAACATGCAGACTACGAATAAGAAGCAATCTATAATACCAGATCTATCTATGATAACTTATGACAGCTTTTAATTAAAGCCATTATATTTACCAGCCTCATCTTGAATCTTTCGTTTACAAGTAACACATGAGAGAAGATGAGAATAGCCCGAATTGCTTCTTGTAACACAAGTCGTATTTCATCAATCCCAAATGACTGGCCAAGTCTCAAATTGCAACTTAAAAATTTTGAGCTCTCGAATTCCTATTAGATTTTTGTCATTTCGATCTTTTCCTTCCTCCGGTATTTACTTCTGATTCAATTTGTCCCGATAGTTCGGATAAACATGTGTGGCCAGAAAGGACATGACAGCCTTTTGCCCGTTAACCTCAAAATGCCTTCGTGAACTCTAACGCGCTCTGACGAAATGGATGTAAACTACATAACAACCATTTTCTGAACCGCAGGTATACAATTTGTGGTGCGTGTCCGTGCTACGCCTCTCACGCTTCTCTCTGATACTGACAGACGAAAGGTCGTCATGTCACTCATGTCCTCTCTCAGATTTCTCTCTGCCGTCGAGTCGTTCCGCGTTCGAGTTCGAAAGAGACCACGTGGAGTGTGAACCGGTTGACGCGTAGATCACATCTCATGTGCTTTCGGTATTTCGCTTGCTCCGCATTGTTGATAACGTGTTGCAGCCGTTGCCAGGCCTCTGATTTCCTTGCCTTTAATGAATGATTTCGTTCGCGCACCTATTTTTTGTTGCGTGAAATCAAAATATACGGCGACAAAGATCATTATTCGATTCGTTGCTAAAGGAGTGGAGAGCACTATTAGCTGTTAAAACTGGAACTGTTTTAAGGTTAAATCACCGCGCGTTACGATGAATGTAGATCGCAATAACAATTCCAGGACTTACTCATATGCTTTACTCTCTTATCATTACTTTTATCGAGAGACGCCAAAGAGTACTTGAAGAATTATTTGAAAATGTACAAATGGAAAGTGATAGTTATGATCAATGGCTACTCCAAAAACTTGAGCGACGGCAGAATGGACGCCAATTGTACTTGCACCGTGATTATGGGCCCAAAATTGATCGTTGTTGACACTATGACTGCCTGGGACCGTGAGAAACTGACGGAAGGTGCGATAAATATAACCGAGATTTTACAATGTTCCTCATAATATATGTATATTCATCTATATACATATTATATGTACAAACATTTTAATTTATGTTGACTTAGAATACGGAATATTTACCGCAAAACTTGATAAAAAAAAAATACACTTATTCAACGCGTTTTGATTCGAAACGAAAGAATCCGACAGAAAAAGGCAGACCGCCGCATTTTTCTGCTAGATTCTTTTTGAGTAAAATTGCATCAAATAAGTATATTTTTTAAATCAAGATTCACGGTGAAGCCCTAATTCATTCTAAATAAATTTATTCTAAATAAATACCGTTCTAAATAAATACCATTCTAAATAAATAAGTTTCTAAGACTCTTGTCGTTTATTTCATACTTTCGCCTAATTATATTTTTATTTTAAAAAAATAAATAAAATTTAATTCCATTCCAAATTAATGCTAGAAATTACAGTTTTTATTTCTCTTCTCATATAGGCTCATGTATATCTTAGAATAAAAGTTTTTCAGACTCTTGCGGGCAATATATATAAAATTCACAATTAAATATATAAGATACATGATAAATTTTTTGTTTCTCTTTCAGCGCTCGCACAAAATAATATCGAGCCAAAGGATATTGACTATGTTGTTTGTACTCATAGCCATTCAGACCACATAGGGAACAACAATTTATTCACAAACGCAGAACACATTGTAGGCTTGACCGTTCAGCACCGTACTATATTTTACGAGAATCCACAGATTTCTAATGGTAGGCTTATTGAAATAAGTACAATGAATTTAGAAATTACCGAGGTCGCTACTAAGAAAATTGTAATTCTTTAGAGGGCTACGAGCTCTGTCCGGGTGTTAAAGTTGTAGCCACGCCAGGACACACGAGGGAGGATGTCACCGTTCTCGTAGAGACGACAATAGATGGGGAAATAAAGCGTTTTGCTATTACAGGTATCCACAAGTTTTCAGAGATCATAGACATATTTTTATTAGAAAAAAATCCAAGTACACTAATCTAATAAAAAATTCGATTATTTTTCTCAATTTAATGATTACATACTTATACAGCAAATGTTCCGATTTCACGCTTTTACAGGAGACTTGTTTGAGAAAGAGGAAGATATTCTGGCGCCGCACATCTGGAAGTCGCTCGGCACACCGGAATTGGTAAAAACTCAATCTGCCACGCGTTCCCGTATAATAGATCTCGCAGACTTTATAATACCTGGACACGGGCCGATGTTCCGCGTTACGGATACTATGAGAGAAATCGTGAAGAGCCAAGTAATTCAGTAATACCGTATTGTTACATATATATATATAATAAATTATATATAAATTATATACGTAATAATGCGGGACTTTAAAGTATAATAACAAATTAGTACCTTTATATTAAGATAAAAATTATTAATAAAAATTATTAATAAACATTTATACGTCGAGCTTTAAAGTAAAATAACGGAGGAATACTTTCAAGAAAATGAAAATTATTATAAGCTTCTAGAGAATCACGATAAAAAACTTGTTTCGTTTATTTTTATTTTTCTTCATTTTTACTTTTGTCTCCACGATTTATCGATTTTAATAAGAAATTTGTGTCAAATAGCTAGTTAATTTGGACATTGATTTCTATTAAAATCTATCGAGAATTAAATTTCGGTCAAGAGATTATAAGTTTCATGAAGTGTATCTTGCAACATTATACGTGGATAAAAATTACACTCTAATGACATCTCCTCGCTAATTAAAGTTCTTTCCTAAATTTTATGCTATCGATTCGCATATAAAAATATAAATAATTTGAGCAGTTTTACATACGGCAGTTTGTCTTCATGCATAGTTGCTTAACAAAAATTCATTGATGAGCAATTCTTCCTGTTTATACAATTTTTAATATCTTTAAAGTGATTGCTCCTTTTATCACATAATCTTTGTTAATGACAATGACTCGTGTTATAAGTACAATTGAATGTCTATGCAGTAAATTCTTAATACTGCTACGTATTACGACTTCATCCATGTTGTAAAGACACTTGTTCAAAGCAGATCGTGTTTCCTGCTCTGTTCTTTTGCCATTTATACTATATATAAAAAAATATATTTTTATATTATATTTATAAATATAATTTATACTTTAAAATAATTATAAATATTATATAATTATAAATATAATTATAAACATAATTATTAATATAAATATATTTATAAATATAATTTTGTAAAATAATGTGCACTCTGTTTCATTTGATTTTGTATTTGTTTTTTGTTAACATTAGAATCGCGGCGATTTAGGTCTCTTCTAGAATCGTAGGTGGGTTATTTATGACCTGTATTATTCTTTTGTGATTTTATGATAGGTGGATAACTGATAAATAATATACTTGTTAATTCAGACGTGTAGCTGTAGACAACGACCGTATTGAAAAATTATCAAATGGATCGAAAAGGGCACAGCCGCGTTTCTAGTATTAACATAACGACTGCATAACAAATGTTATGCGCTTATTATACGAAATTATAGTTATAAGTGGCAAAAGAACAGATCAGGAAAACATCCACTTTGCAAGTATCATCTGTTTCACAATATAGACGAAATCGTTTCGTTACGAAATAACGTTTCCTAATAATACGTAAAGTAACGAATGTTATGCGATCATTACGTTTAAAATATAAAAACAAGCGAAATAGAGTGCACATAATTTTAATGTTCATGATTAGGAACCTTGTTTGACTCTAAATTCACAATACAGACGTTCGATGAGTTTTTCAGTCTTAAAATTAAGTGTATAAAAGAAGAATGAAATTCGATAATTCCACAAAAAAAGATGCTTATTCTCGCTACTGTAATATGTTTCGACAAGAATATTCGTAGGAAGGAGATGCTCATATATCTAATATCGCTATACCAATAAGATTAGCTGTTTGTGTCTGCGACCTGCGACATCAAAGTATCAACGCTGATAATAAGGAAATGGTGATGATAGCACCGATAATTAGTAGCATACGAATTTATCGTAAATGTTCATCAAATTTTCCATACAACATTTCTCCAAAAAGACAAAATTTTCCAGCGAAGTAGACTGCTTCAGCGCGCAGTCCAGGCAATATACCAGATGTGTCTTCGTCTTCTTGCTCTTGCGCTTGCAGATTATTATATTGAATATCTCAGCCTGCAAGGAATTGAAGAAAAAAAAATTTGCTTTTAATGCAAAACAACTGAAATATATAACGTAATATATTGCGTGATACATTGAAAGCGGGAAACGTACAGCGCAGTCTTCACAATAAGCCGTCTCATCGTTTTCGCACTCGTCAGCGTATTTTTTCACTGTCAGACCCTTGCTCTCTATTAACTCCAGCGTCAAATAATTTTGTTTCATCGTGTTCGACAGGCAGTTTTTGATCAGCTGATACAACAGCTGATTCGACACTTTAGCTTTGCGCGCCAGGTTCCACGAAAGCTCCACCATCGGCACGATCGACAGGTACTGCCGCAGCTTGTTCCACTCGTAACGTTCTATCGCTGTCTGATATTGTTTGACGGTGAACGGGCCGACGTTCCACGCGATGTTATTGCAGCAGCCGATCGCGTGCACCCAATGCACGCAGCCGACGTTCACCCACACGATATCGCCCGGTTTCTGAACGAATCGGTACACCGGGACGTTATTCTCGCGCAGAACATCCAGGTTCGGCGGCCACCAGGGATCACGCAGATAATCGACGCCGTTTCGCTCGCAGAGTGAATTTATCACGCCCCAGTACTCGTGCGGCGCCGCGAACCATTCGCAGTCACCCGGTCCGATGTTAATGTTGACGGAGCAGAAATTGTTATTCTCTTGATGACCGGTCGTTCTGCAGCCGGGTACCTAAGGACAAATTATATAAATCGAGTCGCAATAAATATATTTTCGAATGTACCAGATACATCCCCTCCTCCCTTCGTTCCAACTTAAAAAAAAAATTGTGTCATCAAATTTTGATTTATACCTTCATGTATAACTGTACGGTATTCATCCCTAGGAGATCGCGGCACATGTAGCTAAGCATATTGTCGGCACATTCCACCTTGAACAAGGATGGTAACTTCGTTAATTCGTTCAACTGCGGTTTCCAGCATGGCTTCGATAGGTCCACATTCGTAGCGAATTTCACCGTCTTGTTGCGTTCGGTCACTTTGTCGGGCCCGTCGAAAGTAGACAAGTTGGGATTTCGATTTTCCTCGAGTAGAGTTTGATCTTCCTCGAGAAGCCTGTCGGTTTGATATTTCGCGTACTTGCTGATCGTCATGTAACTCATTTTACTGGTGCACGCCCAGTTCTTCTTTCTCCTCTCCTCGTCCCAATTCTCATCAAAAGCGTATCTTCTCTGCTCGCGTATGTCGATTTTCGTATTTGGCCGTGTCTCAACCAGAGTCTTAGTCGAATAAAGGTCCAGATTGATCTCGAGCGTTGCCGTGAGATTGCGTATCACGGCAACGGGACAATCCAGGCAGGTTCTCTGCAGCTTCGGATGGAATGCATCCGTTCTGCTGTTCACGTGATAGCTCGGTACCGGCGGCGACAATTGCTCTTCCGTTAATCGTTGGTTGATCGGCTCTGGCGGCAAACAATTGCTTACTAACGAACACTTCGGCACACCGTTCAGCCCCTTACCTTTGCACAGCTTGATAATCTCTGAGGCGTTCATTGAGATTTATTTTCTCTTTCAACTGCCGTCTGGATGGATAATTAAATTAAAATTATAAAAAGCAGGAAATACAGACTCTTTGCAAGATAAGAAATACGTGTATACTAGTTAAAATTCTCTATTGTTCTCACAACCACTAACGAACTGCGACTGTTCTTGCTAACACATTTGATATTGGATTTGAAGGTAAAGTGATGCGGATACAAAGGACATAGGTTCAATAATATAAACGGCCTCCCCCCCCCCACACACACTAAAGCTATTTGGTTTAAATATCCTGTTAGAAATTTTTTGCTACTACAGATAAACAATAATCATCGGACATAGCGTCGTTCCTTATTCCCCAAATAATCATATCACTTGCCCGGCAATATTTTTATATTATTATTATGCCATAAATGCTCGAAATAATTCCCTATCTAAGACATGACTATGCAAATACGAAACGGAGATATGAAATAAAATTCTTACAAAATTTTATGCAGATTTCACGTATGACAAGATTTGAAACTATTTTTAGCGCGGAACACCCCAAAAAATCGGATAAATGAGGAGGATTATTTCCTCAGTAAGAAAAGTAAAGAAGATAATAGTAATTTTTCTTATTGTCTGCGTGCTCTTCAAAAATCATGATTTTTAATATAAAAATATAAAAGAATCCTTTCCTAAATGAATCATTACCAAATTAAACTTACCGATATTATTCGCGATTTCATCATGTTTGAATTTAATGAGCAACGTGCTCATTAAGCCTGTGAATATCAATATATTGACGTAGCTTGCTTCATGGATCTCGGATGAGGAATAGCGTAGATAAATCACTGACAAGAGTAATCTTCTCGTGGCCACAGGATAATTAGTGCTAAGTAGTCACCCAAATTGACTGTTAGAATTAGTCGTACAAGTTGTAATCCTTCGAATATAATTATTGAATTAAAATTGTCAGCTATGGTTTATTCAAAAAAACGGAAAAGTTTCTAGATTTGCAAATGTTAATAAGAAAGCAGTTATACAACTTTCTTTGCGATTTTCATTTATAATCGAGATAAAATATGTTTTCTTTTAAAAAAAGATTCTCGAAAAATGTTAATAACTCTTGCAGAATTTTTAGATATTTTTAGATATTTAGAATTCGCGTACGGAATATTAATCCTCTGATTAAAATTATGATCCAAACTAATTTCGACAGATAGATTAACATTATAAATTTCAGTATGACAAAATATAAGTTTGTATTATTTTAAAGACTATGTAGATTTCAAAAACGTAACTTTTCGATTATAAATTCCTTCGAATATTTCAAGAGAACTATATGAAAAGAATTATGCAGCATTCTTTTCTTATAGCACATGTACTGTAATTGACCGTGTAATTTGACTTGTCGATTTATGCTTGGAAGATATGAAGACCTTTAACTTATTGTTAGATTCTCAAAATCGATGCGCTGTTGAAGAAAAGTTAATGGGGTTGTTACCACTGAAATTGTTCAGATCTGTCAATGCTGTAATTCATTATACTGTCGTACTTTTTTAAGAAAAGCTGAGAGAGATCTCGTATTAAATGAAAGTAATGACGGCAATAATCATGAATTGTTTTACGAATGAAGTGTCACGTGATTCATGTTGCATTGGTGCAATATGCAATTTACCTGGATTTGACAAACCAGAGTAGCTTCTGCTTGGCTAATATTCCGCACGATATATATTCGAAATTAGGGTGTGGAAGGGCAAGGGATGTACAAAGGATTTTATCGAGACTTGCAAAATACAAAGTTCTGCAAACTTTCTTAATTTTCTTAGCCGATAAATCCCTATTTTTACAAACCTTCAGACTTGCTGAAATAATGTTGAAGAAAATCTTGCATATATATTTTTACAAATACTTTATTAAACATTGCAAAGTGTGGTACATAGTATCACAACGTTGTTATACTCATTGCATGTATACATTACGATTACACATTATACATCGGATTCACGAACACGAATATCTATACGGAGGAGCACAATACGTTCATCCTTATATTTCCCTCGCTGTAGCGCGCGATGCGTTATGTAACTCGTCTTAGAACAACCCTCTCGCGAACAACCTCCACCGTGCTTACCTCGTGGAATTAGCTTCGTGGAGTCGCGGTACACGTTTGATAAATACAATGCTATTTGAACATATCCTCCTAAGAATTCACCCTCCTAATATCTATACACCTCTACGTTCGCAAACAATTTTATTTAATCTTCACAGCCAACGACTAAATTAAAAATCCTCTCGCATCCTCGCGCCGTATTCGCATTCTCATTTAAGAATTACAATTGGTATAAGTTTCTTTTCTCGGGGAGGGAGCGTAGATCTAACTTCACTCTACCACGATTGGAGAATTCGCGTAACAATATATATATCAGGAAGCCGATAAATATATATATATATACTCCCTGCTCGAAAGTACAAATTAAAAATCGTCTTAAACCCGTCTTGTATATTATCGCGTTTTGTAACTTTACGTGTAAGAATACGTGATTAAAGCTCGCGGTCGTTCTCTGCTGCTACTAAAAAAATCAATTACACGGGCACTGTAATACACAATTTTTCATATAACTTTTCATACAATTCATATAATTTTCAATGATATAACAATTAACAAATTACAGAAGTTATATTGAAAACGAAAAGCCGTGCATGAATCTCTTTTTGACGCGGCGACAACAGTTTTCGACGATGAAAGAACTCATACGATTTCCTCGCGTCTATACAGCTTGATATCCGATCGTAGCGAGGCAACAGGAGTTTTTTAAAGCGTTACAATGTAAACAGTAAGACGGAGTGCCCCGCACTCCGCGTAAGTAATATAGCTAGGTTTTGTACATGTAAACGCGGCAAAGTCAATTCGCCGACTGCTGTAAATATCTAAATTAAGTAATTTTCACCGAGACCGAGAAAAATCCGATTAGCAGCGCGACTCTACCCTCTAGTCGTCGTCAAATCAACGCGTGAACACCTTCAGATACAATAGATTCGCGTAACGCGCGTATATGTAAGTCAATCTAGAATAGTCTGTCCCGGATGCCGAGTCGATGTACAAATCTTACCGCGTGTCTCTGACTAATTCTGAACTGATTCAGCCCTTTATCCCCTTACGCATATCCATTAGATACAGGTCGATTCTTGCGCTACATCATTATTTCACCGATGTATATATTAGACGTATATATAATTTTCACATTTCGTAGTTACCGTATGCGAGTCGCGCATCTGTAGCAAGTTAATATCTCAGTAACTATTCCAAATTTCTAACAAATTCTTAATGGTGGCGCTTAAACAAAGAAGTACATTATTTACGTATTGGAATATTAGAATATACATAAGAAAAACAAAGACATGCGTTGATATTTTTATGTAATTGCACGTACTGTACAATTGGCAAGTAAATCATGCGTTCTCTCGTTAAACCACCGTTCAAGAATTTCGGCAGATATTTCGAATAATTAATTATAACAATAATCATTATCATATAATATTATATAAAAGAGATTAACGCGTGTAACGGATCGCGCGACTCGTTCTCGTACACATCATGACTTTCATCACATTCAGAGTACTATAATTAAAAGTACTATAATTAAAGCTCGCGAAGAAGTAATCAACGTATGGCATGTGACTGTCATCAAAATTAATCTACCTACAAATCTAGAGAAACCGATAAACGTGTGTATACATATACTGGGAATCTTTCCCAACTAAAAACTGTCCTTCCTCTTTTCCTTCCACTTTATTATTATTACTCTATTAAAAATTGCATAGGAAGCACGACCGGTTCCTTTAAAAGCTCCACAGCAATTCCGACTGTGATTCCTATTATTAGAGCGCCTATCGCGAGCTTTCGGCATCGGTTGCAACAAACAATCGCTCGGAGAGACTCGTCATCAAAATCGGCGGCACGCAATGATATCGGGTATATCATCGATTGATTCTGAGAAATTAGTACGACTCTTGTTTCTTTGGCTAGATGAAAAACTTTTGAACCATTATTTATTGGGATTATTGACTTATACGATAAGCGACAAGCGATAGAATATATACAATCTAAGAATCGCCGTGCGACCGACTTTGAACTGACAATCGGACAGGACAATCGTACTCGAGAGCGAGCGAGCGAGGTGAAACGGAAAAAAAAAACGGTCGATCGGCTATAAAGAAAGATTTTACAAGTGTCTGCCGACCAGACCTGGCAGGGCGACCCGTGTGTGCAGCGGTAGTGGTCCCGGACTAACTTCTCCCATCATCATCACGGTCCCCAGCTGTCCCACAAAGTATTAAACACACATCAAGAATCGACTCCAGTACCATGTAACATCTCTCACATGTATGCCGCTTGACATTTTAATCGATCACATTCAATCCCGGCGCACCCGGACGAAACATTTACGTATAGTATCGCGTACACGCGTGGGCTGAGATTGTTACGTTATTTACAAAGCGGTTTGGCTGATTGTGTCATCGAGATAGGAGATCTATTTCGAAAGCGAAAGGCTTGGCATCAAAGTGAATCTACATAATTCGCGAGGCCGGAAGAAAAAAAAAATAAAACTTCTCTCTATCTCTAACGCTATTTACAAAAAATTTGCGAGGTAATACGCTAATTTGCCAACAGAAAGCACACTGTACTTTAATTTCGTCAACCTCCTACTTTGTATATATGTATGTAATTATTACTACTCTTTATAGAATCTGCTGTAAATAATACTCTACTTAAAAAAAAAGAGCAAAACGACAACAATCGACCAAGCACGAATCGTGGGTTTCGTTGCCTGAAGTATCACGCCTGTAAACTACATTGCAATATTGACTTCGTTATCAAATCATAAGCGATAGCGGTTACGTTAACACAAACGTAAGTGTATGAGTCTGGTAATATCACCGCCGGAGATATATCTTAAACGGGACTTAAAGGAATTGTAAGTGTCCGATAAAAACTCCTTTGACAACATTTTTAGAAATTAGCTTCTTTAAAATTAGCAACGATTCGAAGAGAATATATCTTACACTTAGCTAAAAACGCTTAACAATTTGATACTTAAACGTAGATACGTGGACAGATCACCGGCAACAATTATACGAAAACATATAATATATCGGGCCGTTAAAATAAATCTTAAGACGCCAAAAAAATATATTATGTTCATAACTGCGATCTACGTGCAGAGCTCCTGACGCTCGTCTGTGAATAAATAATATAACAATGTACAAACTAAAAAGAAAATAGGAGAAAACAACGTAAAAAATAAGATAGGTACGTGTGAAGTAGTATATTGCGGCATGCAGATATTAGACGATTAAGTATGCCGGCAGCGCGATTGCGAGATGATTAATGCCAGAGATCCTTCCGCATTAAAAAACTGACTGCATGCAAAAAAGGGGGGAGGGCTCTCGAGGATCACAGTGGGCGAAAGAAGTATTCGCACGTCCCAAGTTTTTTTCAAGTAGCAATCTTGCGCGAAGAAAAAGATTAATATATCGCGCTGCTACGAACAGAAATGATCTGTTCTGTTAGAAATATCGCATTTTTCGTGGTATTTCAGAAAAGACGGGACACACGAATACTCCTTTCTCCCAGCTTACAAATAAATATATAACTTTTCAAAGAGCAAAGATTAAAAGATCACAGCAGCCACAGAGCCTCAATACCCTATTACGTCTCTACATTGCCAGTCGCAATAATCGGATTAGAATTAATCGCGCGATTAGAATTAATGAACACTATGAAAATTATGTTTAATGCTCGAGCGTTTGAACCTCGCGAAGAGTTTGGCAAACACGTTCCAGTGTTCAGAAAAGAAAGAATCCGGGAGTGGTACTTGCCCGTTAAAAAAACTAAATTTCGAGAAACGTTCGGTTGAGATAAAAAAAGAGCATCTTTCTTTTACTCAGATCAATGAGCGCTACGTACTCTCTCCAGGTCCTGAATTTTCTTTTCCAACACTCTTTATGTATAAATAGAAATATACAATTCTCTCGGAAAAAATGACAAAGCGCGGAATATATCACGATCATCTTCACTCCCTTAACGCTATTCGTACGTATTAATACTTTCGGAAAATCACCGCGTGATACGACCTATTCACGACTGTTCAGTCAAGAGAAGAATCTTTTGCTGCACAGGTTTTAGGTACACATGGATCGTCGAACCGTTTTCCCGGCTACAACGTTCGTAACGGAATGAATCCATCCATTCCGATGATTCTGAGGTCTTCACCATCGGAATCGGAATCATCATCATCATCATCACTGTCACCATTTATCCTTCTCTAGAAAAACCGATGAAAAAAAGTACGATCAAACGTGCGCTCCGCAAATGTGACTGTGATTTTTTTCCCCCGTGAAGAGTGAGAAGAGCAAGACACAAGCGCAGAAATAGGTCGGAGAAGCTTGTCATTTTTACGTGTACATTAAACATAATTTTCGAGTCGAGTTTACCAAATGTGGAATTTATTCCATCGTTATGCGATAAATATCACACGCTATTGTCCATTCATTAATTCTCGTGCGTCTATCTAGTAGGCAATCGTTGACTAGAATAGTTTATCTGCTGCACAGATTTATAAAAATCACCTCTCGACAGAAGGGAATACGCAGTTACGAGGAGTCACTCGCACGCAACGGCGAACTGGCTCGTTAACATTTTACCGTGTTTGTCAAATTTGCGCACCGTGTTAGTGTAAGATTGAGGCAGAGCAGATAAAAGGTCGGTTTGCATTAACAAAATAGCATACGTACATTCCTCTCAGTTCTTTAAGCGCAAGCAGGCTTGTTAAAAATTAACGGTGTATTTACAGTTGTCACATTGTCGTTTTCGAAACCGAGACATTGTGCGCGACAGCAGCATGCAGCTTAAAACTTTACGATTTAATTGGCGAAAGGTCATCATTGCAACAATTCTATCGTTATGCTAGATTATTCGTTTGTATAGATCTGATTTCCCTCCATCTTTTGAATTTAGCTATTGAACTGTTAAACTCATTTCGCCCGTCCGAAAAGTATCGTTTTTTTTTTCAAGCTGCTATCGCACCCGAATCCTCGATTATCCCTAGTCGCTGTTTCACTCGAGGGGTGAGCTCGGAAATCGAGAAAACAAGAGAAATTACATCATCCAGATAAAGTTAATCTTACGTGCAATAGAACATTCCAAGCTCGTGATTTATATATAAAAGAACGAAAGAAAGAAGAGGCGAAATGTCGAATGTAAAATGATCGTTTCGCGCGATTATGTCTGCTCTACGTATTGTCTGTATTGCTTGTACGTAGCAGTATGGAGAACATGCGTAGAAATATACAGTGTACACACACGTAGCCGCAGGCTATTGTTGTCTACACTCACAAAGTCGAAGTAAAGAATTGAAAAAAAATTTTTTAAAAAGGGAGTAAAATTCGAGACGAATTCGCGAGATTCGTTTGTCTGATACATCAGTCGTTTTCATTTCAAAACGAAAGACGTAAAATTTTTTTAACGAAATCATAACCGTAACTATGATGAACGGATGCGAATGTGAAGCGTATGAGGTACACAGGAATTAAATAAATTGTAATTCCGCGTTTAACGCGCACGAATTATATATACAAGACTCTTCCATTCTCCCTCTTTCCCTTTCTTCAGCCTAGAAAGATTTAGATACACAAAAGGTGGTGGTGTTAGGAGATTGCTGTTAGTTCTACCTTCTGTGTAAATTGAGAATTACATAGGGCTCGTCCGGATTAGTGCCGACGTCTGTGGTGCTGTTGTTAGGCTGATAGCACGGGTTAACAGTGTAATTGAGATTAGGCTGATGGAAACTCACCGGCTGAACGCTGGTCCTGCGCCGCTCCATCTCGCGATCTTCCAAGCAGAAGTCCGAATCCGAATCGACTTTTCTCGCAACCTCGTCCTGTCGCAGTGTAATTATATTATTATGAATATAGTAACATTACTTTAATTCACAATTATAATCTATACATAAACGATATAAAATATAGACATCGCGTAATTATGACTGACGGTTTAAAATGATGGTTTTCGGATGCGCATATAATAAACTCGAACGACCCTGTACCTGCGTCATCTGTTGCGTGGTCGTGAGGATTCTCGCCAGCGGACTACAACAGACCGGCAACGTTTCTAACAACGTAGGCCTGGAATGCGTTAACAGGGGCTTCATGTATTTGGTATCGAAATCGCCCCAGATTCTCGCGAGCAACGCCTTCTCGTTAGGCTTTGTGCCACCGGCGCCGCCGCCGCCACCGCTGCCACTGCCGCCGCCTGGCAGCGGTCCGTCCTGCATAGAATTATACTGTGAAACGTGAACAACGCATCAGTTATCCATCCTGTATGATACTGCGAGCTTTCCTTCTTTAATCTTTAAAGTACACTCCATCCCCCCGCCCCTCCCCTCCCCTTCCCCACCTCGTTATTCGTAAACATATATTTATTAATGCGTTAAGGTAAGCTCCAAATAGATATACATATTTTTAATTCCTCTCTTTTTTAAGCGTAAAAATGTATAGCATCGATATACTAATGTCATTCTTCTTCGGACGTTACCCTTCATTATTAGTTATGAAAAAATACATGCTTACTTATTGATCATGATTATGTCGTTCCATATTAAACATGTCTGTGTAGGCACTGTTAATGAATGTATCTCAGTGTAAGTATCTCAGTGTTCTCCAGCTACTCTTCAACATACAGAATGGATAACAAAAACCATACTGGAAAAAAAAAATAACCAAAGGCTCATGCAGATAACGGGTTCGAAAGCCTTAAGGAAATAAATCTGCAACTTGCGACACGAGCAGAGGGATCATATAAATCATATAACGGATCTACATTCACATGCTACAGCAATAATAAGAAAAAAAAAATCAATTTTTACTTCAACAAAAATATCGGAGCGACAGCTGATGCATGCAGTTACTTTTACGAGAATTGCATGATATCGTGCTGCTGTGGGAGTTATTTATGCATATATATATATATATATACGTATATTAATGTTTCATTGTTTGTGCGTGAATAAAATCGATTTGTTAGAGCGAGTGAGTCATCGAAATACACAAAATAAATATAAGTCGTCTAAATTCCCAATTTGTCAAAACAGGTGCGTCAAGTCAATCTTTTAATTGTAATAACATACCGGCGGAGTTCTTCCCCTACACATGTCCAGTTCACCGTAGCCACTCTCGCCGCCAGACTATCAACATTGATAAATTAAATTGTCTTGCAGATCGCAACATTCGCGCGCGCGAATATTCACAATTTCACTTGTCGATCGTTACAGAGGCAAAGTAATGTAATAGACATGCATGTGAGCTCAGGGGATGCGGGGATCAAGATATTCGGATTACAATTTCGGTAGAGCAATTCCCCGTACGAATGTTATATTCTTAATTCGAAAAATCTCGTGGAACATTTCGCAGACCTTGAAATATGTATACCTTCAACTACTAGAGAGAAGAAAAAAAAACGTTTCCAGCTGCAGCTGGAGCATCAAAAAATTGAGCTCACCGACATTGCACCCGGTCATGATAGACAACCGATATAGCATTGCTTAATCTAACTTTCTGAATCTACGATACTCCGATATTACTTTTTGTACTAAAGGAGGAAAAAATCAGCGGAAGCGTATGCAAAATAAAACTCTCTAAGCCTCGATTTTAACAATTAACGAGATTCAGCTGATCAGTACGCACCCCGACGGTGTCCAACGAATTGTACACCTGGGTAAAAACGACACAACAAAAAAGATCATTATACGAGACCAATTAAGCTTACATGCACAAATGCCTTCGCTTTCATATCTTTTTAAAGCAGATACTCTTACACTCATTTAAATATATTTACTATACGTCGTTATTTTTTTTGTGATTTTTTAAATCAATTATTTAGCTTCATTATTGCCCATCAGTTATCTATTCATTATTAATGAAATGTTGTAAAGTAATTTAAATTAATAACCCTACAGAGTATAAGAACACTGCTACACATGCAAAATTTCGCTGTACTGAGAAAATCGTAAATCTTACTATCGATATTTAGCCATGTATAGTGTCAAACTTATACAAACGCATGAACATGTTAATATATATGTATGTATATATGCAAACAGTCTAAATAATGTAGCTCTCTATTCTGCATTACGTAATAATTTAATTAATTCTTCTAGATAGCATAGAGAACACGATTGTCGAATAAAAACAGTCATACTTACACTGCGTGTTCCGTTATGAGAAAGTCCTTCTATTTCCTCGTCCACTCCGACTCTACAAACGAAAGGACAGTTTAAGTGGCACGATAAAAAGCACAATCAATTATATTTGCAATAAATCAAACGGGAATAAGAAACAACAAATTATCAGAACAAAAAATGTTCTTTTGCATAATTCTAACATTGATAAAAGTAAAGGGGCAAACTGCGATATTGAGTTACATTAGATTAGTTTTACTCACGGGATATTGAACCAGCTTAAAAACTGCGTTGTTGCGCCGCCTTGCAGAATAACCGTCAGTATAACGATCAGGCTGGTTGTGGTCAACATCGCCTGCCTGGCGTCGGACACGGTGTTCCTGATGGCGAGAGCGAAGCTCATGGCGCCGCGCAATCCTGCGAAGAACAGCATGTGCTGATAGTTTAACGATATCTTCGGCTTCCGCGCCAGATTCAGTATGAAGGACAGCGGATAAACGTTAGCCGCGCGACCCAGTAACGCGCATAGCTGAGAACTGCGTTAAGGATTTTACTAATTACGTTCAATTAATCGAATATAATTCGCTTGATATCCACTTGACGATATTCTTGCGACAGTCGTGCGCTACGTATCGCATTAAACCGGAAATGGATTCTCTCACAGAATTGTTTAGGAAATCAATCGGAAAAATTCAAAGGAACGTCCTGTGTGGCACACTCTGTAGATATACAATGTAAGGATACAAATCCTGCGAAGATAAAGCCGGGATCGAAATGGTGTTTCGGGAAGGTGAACATCGAGACGCCGATGTAACTGAATATGAAATTCTCGGCTAAGAAATTCAACAGCTCGAACAGCTGCTTCGTGCGCTGGCGCGAGTCCGGGCTCAGATTGTTATACGTGTAATGTGCCTGGCATATTCCACAGAAGAGAACAGCGACCACGCCTAAAATTTCACAATAAAATATCTGTTAGATTGATGCAAAAGATTTTTTCGGTTTTCTATTAAATTCTTAAATAAGTTCTTAAATAAAGACAGATTATTGTTTTTATCAAAAAGAGAATTTAAAAACTTTTTATACAGAAAAAGCTGTTAAATCGACGGTGGACTATTTTGGCTAGTAGGTACTGGTTTTTGAGAAAAAATTATTTTTTGCTCGATTATATGCCATAATCGAATATAAAACACGCACAAATATTGAGTTACCTGTAAGATCGGCAGCTTCGGCGATTAAAAACGTACTGTAGGACATCAAGACGAATAACGCCGACTCCAAGAGAGGAAAGTCTCGCACCCTGGTAAACTTCGTCAGCAACGCGGTGATGCATCCCATAGTAGCGCCGATGAAGAGGGACAGACTAAATATTTCAACAAAGTCTCCAAACGCCTGGAAGAACGCCACGGTCTCGAAACCGCCCGATCCCGACTGGTATCGCTCCGCATAGTTTTGTATCGAGCTGAAATTAGATATTAGAATTTATGATTTTTTGATATTGCATTTATGTTAAATATGTATTGCTAAATTTATAGCTACACATATTGTTGTGTAGATAATTCCAAGATAACGGCCTTTGCGCGTGAAATCAGTTCAAAATCGTCAATTTCGAATTTCCGATTTTTCTGTCGCAAGAATTTTTTTGCGGAAAAAATCGATTCGAACCAAAGAATTCGCAAATCAAGGAAAAAATACGGTTGATTCCGCGAAATGTTCCGCCTACTAACCCGCTAAGTACAATGGCGACCGCATCGTTCAGCACACTCTCGCCGAACACCAAAGCATACAGATTAACGTCTACGTGTAGGTCGTTGAAGATGGATATTATTGTCAGTGGATCCGTGGGAGATATCAGAGCGCCGAAGTACAAGGTGTCCAGAAACGTGAACGACGTGGAGAGATGCGGTATCAGTTGTATAAAGGCGTACATTAGAGCTCTGCGCAGATAAGATAAGGTTCCACTTATTAAAAAAATAAAATTTAAATCAAGCCGTTAAAAGAAAAACAGGAATAATTATGAGTGACGCGTGAAAAAGAAAGCGGAGATAAACCTGAGCTCAAAGTACAAGCTATGCATAATAAGATACACAGTATCTACAAGCATACTTTGCTCGTTGCCAAGAGCTAACAGCCATTCTCTTTTCTTAAACATGCAATAAATAATAAATAATAATTAGATAGATAGTGAGATAGATTTTAAAAATGGTGCCTTCTTTTCAAACGAAAAAAAAAAACCAAACGAAAAACAGCAATATAAAAAATTTAACAGGATATATAGATTGACAATTTTTTTTCTCAAGATTCCCACAATAAAACAATATTGAAGGAAAAGCTTACCCAATAACGAAAGCTGATATGGAGGTTCCTATCAAAGCGTACATAAGAATCGCACCCAGATTTCTGAAGAAGTATCTCTGCAAGAATTCGATTATAAAAAATTACATAAATTAATTATATTGTATATCCCGTGTTATTACATCTTTCCAAGAAAGAGAAATAAGCGAATCAATGTACTTACACGCTTCAAACTGTATCCAGCATGGAAGATAATGGGAGGTAATATAATATTGAAAAATATTTCAGGATCAAAAGTCGCCTGTAACAACAACACAATTGCCGTTAAATCAACTGATTTAAAAAAAACACAGTGATTTTAAATATAATATAAAAATTATCTAGATTTGTTAAAAAAAAAATCATCAACTTTCTTTAGAGACAAACAATGTGACTTATCATCTCACGGAGGACTTATTCACCTTAAAATCGATTTCGTTGTCTTCCTTGTAGATTTCACCGCGAAACGAATATGCAAACGTTTTGTTCTTTACGACACCGCCACCCTTATCTTCCGGGAAACGTAACCATAGCGTGTCCGGTGGTACAGACTGATTGTATTTGCTGGAATTATCTGGGACCACCGGCATATGCAGAATAGTGCTGCTCGTCGTGAAACCATAGCGTATTATCGCTCCTATGATCAAGCCTGTAATAAGAGCATTTAAAATACAATTCACTCTAAACAAATTTATTTTTAGCATGTTGCACGCGATGATTAAAATTATATCCAAGAATGCGTTTGATAAGAATGCACTTAATTTTATTTCAAATTGGAAGATAAGAATATATTATAAAATCATTTACAAATTTTCATTAAGTAATATAAAGTCATGAGAATTAAAACTGTATAGCGAATGAACGATTTTATTCGTCGTTATCAAACTAAAATTAATTCTTGAACACTCAAATGTTTGAAAACAATAATAAAACACACATCTATGTATAAAATCTTCTAAAAATCTTATCATTTGATGTGTATCAATTGTGTAAAAATTTCACAAATATTAATCTCAACGCAAAACGTTTTTCACAGCATCAAATGTATCACCGATAATGTCGCAATCATATTTTCTACAGTTAATTTAAAATATATAAAGAGAAAAGAAATAACTTCAAAAAAAAAAATTCGAAAATTGAGATCATTTCGTGAGTACATAAGTACGAGTTGAACAAGAGTGTGCAAAATTTGCAAGTCGTCCTTCCATAAATAGACAAAAGTTCGATGAAAGAACGTGTCACACGTGCCCTTGGCGATGCTTAATCGGTTATGCACAATTTGATCGCGTCACAATTACACTGGCACGTACACAGTAAGAAAAAAAAACCAACAAAAGGAAAAAGCCGAGAATTGTTGATAGCAGACGACTCTCACCGTAGATGACAGCCAGGCCAGTTTCATGGAGGAACCTCAAGCGGCGGTGCTTGAACATCCATATCGTTAAAACGGTTAAAATCAATAGGAACGTGTAGAGCAGGAGATTGAGGCTGTCGAGCCGGTGCAACAGCTGTGCCTTGGCGTCCAATTTGATGTCCGTCGCCGCACCGTTGCATAGCTCCAGGAGAAAAATACACAGAACTCCGAGGAGAAGAAGACGTACGCCGCCATTCGCCGCCATCTTCGCCGAACGTCAGGCGATATCTGGACTGCGCGCACGAGAAAAAGATGATTCACAAACACACACACACGACACACGCATCAATACATATCCACGCAAATTGCAATGATCCTAATTCTAGACGTATACCGACTGACTATTGGAAAAGAAAATTCTCGGCAGAGTTCAAGATTTTTCAATCGATTTATAGCTAATAAATATCATCGGAAAAATTAATCGACGCTTGGAGCCAAGAAATACCACACTTATAACGCGCGCGGGTGATATTACAAAATATCAACAATCGGTAAGATTACGTGCGACTTTATCGACTTTTAAACGGAAATATCGACAGTTGGAAAAACCCATGTATGCGGGAACTGATGAAAACGCGCGGGTTACTATAATATTTTCGAGAAAATAAAAGGGACAAATCTGAAAATTTTAGGGCTTAATTGTTCCTATGTTATGTTTCTAAATCAAATTCGACAGTTGTGACTGCGTCAGACTGTCAGACTATACATTACGAAATTTTCTTGCACATTATATCAATTTAAAACACCGATGAGATACGTATTATAATTATTAAATAAAGACGGCCGATCAAAGGCAAATTTTCATGACTCAAATAAGCCCGGAGGTAATATATATAAATATGTGAATTAAATATATATTAAACATTTAATAAATATTATTATATTATTTTTATAATAAATCATACAATGCATAATTAATGAAAAAATATATTTAAAAACATTGCTAATGGGGTAGGGGTTGGTAAAAACAAAATCTATTGTGCAAATCTTGTTTTATTAGTTTAAAAATCAAGTATTCTTTTTTGCTGAATCTTTTTCTATATACAGAATGGCTCATAATTAAGAGTTATAAACTAATAACTTAAGGAATATTTGTCGTATAAAATTAAAAGTTGTTTGCATAGAAGTTTTATATATTAGAGGGGCCTTTCTAAATATGTAAACAAAAATTTTTCTTCCCTCCCTCACTTGAAAGGGGAGGTATAACTTCAAAATTTTTAATGATCCTCTATAAAATGTTACATATTTGGATTCTATAAGAAAAAAATAATTAAACTTTATTAAAAACATTTCTTTGGAAAATGTCTTTATCAAAAATTAAAAATAATTAAACTTTACGTAAAATGCATTTAAATTAATAATAAAAGCATAAATTAAGTAAATGGTTTCAAGGTTTTTCTGTTCTTTTTTATTTTACTAAATGTTCGAACTATTGTCCGTTTACATTTAAACATTTACTAATTCTTTTTACAAAATTTTATCTAACTCTAAACATTTCTAAGGTCAACGACAAATATTCTTTTAGAGTTATTAGCTTGTAACATTTCACATGGACCATCCTGTACAACGTCCATTATCTAAATTTTTAGCCGTGCCGATATTCATTGTCAATTTAAAATCTACAGTTCACGTTTACGCACAGTACAGATTTTCTGTACTACATGTCAGAACATGTTACGCACATTGCAGATTTTCAGTACATCACACAGTTTGAATATATATAGAACATAATCTATACAGAAAGAATTTTATTATTGCAAATTTAAAATTAAATTACTTTATAAATAGTATGTATTTTAAATATTTCATTATCATTATTGAAGAATTATTATTGCAAATTTAAAATTAAATTATCTTATAAATAAGTATGTATAATTTGAATTTAAATTTGCATTTGTGATTTTTAAATTATACAAAAACGTTAAATTATATATGGTGCCTGTCCATTAATTGCAGCTGTCACTTTCTCGTTCTTCAAGATCGTCACATGAGTACCCTCGATGTAATGTACTTTCACCACATTTTTAGTTATCTGAAATTACATATTTTATTAACAAACTGTTAAATTGTATTGTTAAATTTTATTTATCATATATAGAAATTAGCGTCATTTCTTTGAAATACCTTCTGTAAACCATAATCCTCCTCAGTCATGGGTATATGCAATGTTTTTGTAGGTTTTAGCAATGTTATAGGAGATTTAATAGGCAGCAACGTAGAAGGATCATATTGATGAGCAGCTAATAAGTGTCTATAAATTGTTGTACATAGCGTCTTTAAATTTGCAGGCGAAAGTAACGTGTTCGTGGCCAAAAACTGCTTGGCAAAAATATTATATCTCTCTTCCCAGGTATTGCATTCCTTCAGTTCCACTAAAATCTATACCAAATTATACTTTTTTTACGTATAAGTTTTACTTTACAATAAGAAATATTTAAAATACAAGATTATAAGACAGAACAAGAAATTGATATGAATTTGTATAAAAAGAATGTCGTGACATAAGTGACCACTTTTCTTTATTTTATAAACGAAAGAAGATAGACATAAGAAACATAATGTCAAGTTAAACAGAAACAAATTCTATTGTAATTACGGTAATTATTTATAAAAATTATCTATGTAAAAAACGGAAAGGCATGTACATATAAGTTTTGGGAGGATTCTGATTGACCACGATTGGACACAGCTACTCACAGCGACCGAAGCCTTTTTGCATTGTTCAAACGTTATAATTGTGCCCAATCGCAACGTGATTAATCGATACCCACTCTAATTTTACACGGTAATATGAATATTGTTGCAATAGAAAAGATGAAACGTTTCTTTAAAAAATACGAGAATATCACAAAATGATTTTATAAATTATTGAAAAAGATTGTATGTTAAATGAAAAAGTTTTATACTCGCTCGCGCAATATTAAATCAACAAAACTTAAGTAACAATACTTTCAAATTAACAAGGTTGATATATGTGTACAACAAATAATAATAAGAAGAAAAGAATCAAATTTTTTCGGCCAAGGTTACATGTTGGCTGCTCAATAATATTTTTAATTTTTAAATCTTTAAATTTCAGCCACCGTGATTAGTGACATTTTGTTTCAAACCATTTAACTGGAAAATTATATATATATATTAAACATTCTCTAGATTTTAAGATAAAAGAAATGGCTACATATGCCTATATACATATATATATAGTCACCCCATATACAGAACAAAATCAATAATCAATTTAAGATATGAAAACGTACAACAAATATGACAAATGTACAATAAATGTCTTATAAAATAATTTTGATAAGATAAAAAAAAATTATACCTTTTTACTATTTCCGATTCCATAAACTTCCATAACACTTGTTAAGGCAGCAATTTGAAGGTCTGTATTTTTAGATTCTATAAAATGTTTATAAATCATTCGTATTTGTTTAGGAGCGCCGTCGATGAGAATTAGACGGCCTGTAAAATTCATAGCTTCCAATTTTCTCGTTAATTCAACCGCGATAATAGATCCGAAGGAGTATCCTACTACTACAAAATCTTTTCCATCTCTTAGTTTTGGTAATATGTGCTGCAAAGATGTTAAAAATATTCAAAAAAATTTCTCTTTTCAATTAAAATAACTTTCCATCGACATAATATCAAATTATTAATACAATTTGCATACGTTTGTGAAATAATCAGTAATCCCAGATATAATATTTGTAGCAGCATCGATATTGCTTGTGTTATAATGCAAGGACGTTGCTGAAAATTCAATATCTGGTGCTAAACGATTAAATACAGTTCCGCACCCATCGACACCCGGTATAAGAAATACTTCAGTCGTAGCTTTCTGTCTTTTAGTAGGTAGATCAAAACAGGGTTGTGAAATAAAATCTTCATCTTTTATAATACCAATTAGATATTTTATAGCATTTGATTCCTTTGTGACGAGTTTCTGTTTGTTATGAATAGTGTCGCCTCTTACGTTTTCATCGGACACTTTCATGAGTTTTGCAAAAGTAAGATTTATTATTTCTTGTGCAGTAAAAAAAATATCAAATTCTCGTTCAAGAGTTTGCTTAATTTCAACGGCCATCATGGAGTCCATTCCGAATTCAGCCAAAGGCAAATGTTGACTTACAAATTTCATATCTTTTATGTCTGTAAAAAAATAGAACATTACTATCAAATATTAATTATAATAAAATAGAATATTATTACCATATATTTATTAATAAATATAATTAATTACAAAACTTATTGTTCAATATGTCATTATATCAATAATTTCTTCAAACTATTGTTTGGGTGTTAAAAATTGTAGTACCACACACACATTACAACACTGCTAGCTTCACAATTAAATATCCTAATATAAATTGTGTAACATAAGTAATACTTGAACAAAAATTTCAAGAAATCATGTAGCACTGTACAGACAATTAAATTCATAAATATACATGCAAAAAAAATTTTACATGACCGTAACTAAGCGTACCTAAAATATTAGCAACAGTTTCTACAATACTGCCAAGTTCGTAAGATCCCGCTTTCTTTTTAGCTACGACCATGCTACTCACAATCGGTTGATTTTGAAGTAAAAATTTATCGAGTTCATCGAGACAGCAAGATATTTTTTGCTGCAAAGTGCTACCGATAATCACTTCTTTATCTTCCTCCTGCATGTCTGCGACGAGACCAACGTCGCCCACAGCTCCCCATTGAATTGCCAATCCAGGTAATCCTTCCTCCACCCTCTTCTCACATATTCTCTCCATAACAGAGTTGGCCATGCCATAATTAGTTTGTCCGGCATTTCCTCTACCGCAAGAAACGGAAGAGAATACTACGAAATGCCGTAGTTTAGGGCAAATTTTTCTAGTAAGTTTGTCCAATATTTGAGTTGCTCGAGCTTTCGATTGAAAGGACTCCGCAAAAGTCTCAGCAGTTTGATTCTCCAGAACACTGTCTTTCAATACAACACCAAGATTGAATATCGCGTCCACTGGTCCTTCTCTTTCCGCAATTCGCAAGAGATATTCGCAACCCTGAATGTTAGCGACATCAATGTCCTTGATAATCAAAACGTTTACACCGTACGACTTCCACAATTGAACTTTCATACGCTGGTAACCGTTTTTTATTCCAGTTCGTGAAATGAGCACAACATTCCTAGCGCCTCGAAATATCAGCCAGTCGGTTAACTCTAAGCCAAATCCACCTAATCCGCCTAGTATAACGTAACTTTTATCCTTGAGACAATAATAGCGACGATATGCGAGAATGTGATTGTCTAAAGGTTTATACTTTTCTTGGATATTTATAATTATCTATAAAAAAAATCATAAATATTAGAAAAATGCATATTATTTATAAAAAAGGATATTACATGAATAATTTTTTCTGCTACTGTCAATAAATTAAAGCATACTTTTCCCATATGTTTTCCACTCGCCATATACCTAAAAGCTTCTTCGATATCTGTTTTCGGAAAAATTTTCACTTGGAGTGGTTTCACAGTTCCATTATTAAGACCATCGGTTACCATTTTTGATAACAGAGATTTATACATGAGATTATTTCCAGTGAACATATTATCGAGTTGAATTCCATGAAAGCTAATACCTTTCTGAAACGCCGAAATACCTAGAGGATTGTTAGAAACAAGATCAAATTTGCCGATCTCCAAAAAATGACCGTTTCGCGCCAAACAACGAACAGACGCGATTAATTTTTCTTCAGCCAATGAATTTAAGACGATGTCGACGCCGCGACCTTTCGTTTGCTGCATTATCATTTGTTCAAAACTAGTATCTCGAGAATTTCCAATGCGTTCATCCAAAATAGTCGGAAACATTTGTTTAATAAAGTTTCGTTTGTCACTCGTGCCCACAGTAGTGAACACCTCGCATCCTTCATTGAGAGCGAGATGAATAGCTGCTTGTCCA